AACAACATTATTAACCCAAGGCCAATCCAATGATCCTAATGTTCATCTAGGGCTTTTCCCACCATCAACTTCAAGCCAAAACCCTCCCCCAACGATAATTACCCAAGATTCTAAGTTCTAAGAATCGAATTACGGATTAGGGGAGTAATTAACTTACCTTTAGCGCTAGAAATTGTTGGAATCTGATGAGAAACTGCTCTGGATCGTGCCTTAGCTCTTAAGAATGAAGTTTTGCAGAAAATAATGATTTTTGGGGGTTTTCCCCAATTTAAGTCGCGATTGTCCTGCCACAACGACCCATTAATTCCGCCCCAACGGTTTTCACGGAGACAGAAACTCAAAATTTGAGTTCCAAGCTCCCATTGCACAACTTACCTTCAAACCTGGACGCTCTAAAACTATCATTCCACGCCAAGATCAGTTTCGGGAGTTCTACTCGCCTGAATTCTATTCCGTAAAGACGTACATGCTCCTTAACTTCTTGGCTATCCACTCACGTGATCAAACTCATAATTTAATCCCCCATCCATTACCAGATTTCCCTAGACCTCACCTGACTCAAATTTCGTCCAAGTTTGGCCTAGGCTAGAAATTCTCAAATTACTATTTAAAAGTTTTCTGGCCCAAATTCCTTTCCCATTGGCTTTTCCATAACAAGGAAAACATGTAATTATATTAACTGACAATAAGACCATGAGAACTATATCACGAAATGTGGTATATCCCTCGTACCAAAAGAAGAGGATTCCACTTGCCAAGGTAGAATCCGTACACATCATCTTTTGCTAAAGTAGATCTACTAGCTAGGTCATTTAAGACAATCCTACGGGGGCACATAGTTTGGGACTAGGGGTTGCTACTATAGACTACCCTATTTGAGCCTCCACCTCAAAGCTCTCTCGGTGCTAAGTCCAAATCCCAACAGAATAGATAAAAATCAATTATCATTATAACATAGGAAAGACAATGATCAATCCGCATCTTAAAGTCAAAATATAGAATAGCTCCTTAACACACAATTCAAGCATAGGTGAGAAAACCTTTTACCAATATGAATCCATATGTGAGAAATACCTTTCACAATCATGATCATATTCGTATGTGAGAAAAATCTTTCACAACAAGATTGATACTTTCTTCTAAATCACTCTAACATCATAAATATCATTTTTCCTAAGAAATGTATAACCTTTAAAAATCCATAGGTGAATGCCCACATACCTTGCTACTCCAAGCCCAAGATGAATGGTGAATTGAAGGTTGAGAGGGAATTTGAGAGAGTGAATTTGGTTAAGTTTTGGGGAAATAAGAGAACGAGTTTAAAATGGGTAGATTTAGGAGTTAAAGTCTTTATATAGGGCTTAGGATAGAGGCCAAAACGACATAACATAGGCCTAAAACACATAGGAAAAGACCTAAAAGTCCTTAAGAAATAACTGTCAGAATTGGTCTATTGGTGAGACCTACAAATCGTAGAAAGTGTACTGGTCAACCGTAGACCAATTAATGAGACCTTAAAATTTACTCAACTTGACGGTACCCTTCTATGGCTCGTAGGAATCCCTACGGTCCGTAGACCCTAACTGTAAAACTTAACCTTAACCCCAAAAATATCACTAAGTCTGCATTGCTTCTATGGAACCCATCTATGACTCGTAGATCACTCAAAGGACCATACTGGTCATCCGTAGTATGAGGTACTGAAACTTTATTATCAAAAAATTATTTTCCCATTTCTATGAGACTGGTCTACGAACCGTAGACTAGACTCATAGACCTTAACCTTTAGCCAAAATTCATGCAACCTATTCTCTTATCGAAATCCGAGGTATTACACTTTAAATGTTCTTGATATCTTTATTATTCTATTCGTCCCTCTTATTTGGAATAGTCTTATTTGCTTTGTCATTTATTGTAGAAGGGACTTTGAGACCTTTCCCGATAATATTTCCTAATTCAAGATCTTCTCTCATAACAAAGTCTTACCTTCCACCAGCCATTGTATTTTTTATTGAAGCATGGTGGTCTTGTTGTTAATTGACCTTCTTGAACTCCAAGAAGTGCAATCATTTGTAGTCTTTCAAGGTGAAATCTTTATCGAAAAGATCTGGCTCTGATAACAATTGTTAGTTTGACGACAACTTAAACAACCAAGTTATTTGAGCAACTATGCAAGAAGCAAATAAATTGCGAAATATAAATTAACACAAGTATTTAGCGTGGGAAAGAGAGGCAAAAGCCACGTTCTACCTCTATAGGTTTTTTTCCAAACTTTCCCCAAAACTTGAGCCCCAATTTTAGGTTTACAATTGTTTTTGTAACACCTAAGGAATTGTTCCCAATAGTCTCAACCTCTACCGTCTTACTCTCATTATAAAATGACTCTATCCTGTCAATGGAGTCTTTTACAATATAAAACAATACATACTATAATCAACTAAGAAAATAGGGAAAATGCATAAGTACCCCAAGCTATGTCCGAAATCTCAGAGACACTTATATTATACTAAGGTACTATTACCTTCTCGAACTTATTTTATAAATAATTTTCTATCCCTTTTAGGCCTACGTGGCACTATCCTCTGGGGCCCAACTTGGCAATTTTTTCAAGCTATCTGATTAAAAGTGCCACGTAGGCCGAAAAGGAGTAGAAAATTATTTATAAAATAAGTTCGGGGGGGGGGTGGGGGGGGGGTAATAGGACATTAGTATAATATAAGTGTGTCTCTGGGATTTCGGGCATAGGTTGGAGGGGTACTTATGCATTTTCCCAAGAAAATAATCAAGATATTATTCTATAACCAACACAAAAAATTAATTGTCCATAGGTTGAGAAAAACTAAGCACTACTTAATGGACAAATGAAGGAAGACTCTAGACGTCTACTAAAGGTTTGTAACCATGAACGTAGATCAATTGGTAATGTCTTCCTCCAATATTTTAGGTACCTTTATTGGTGGATTTGGATATTAAAAATAACAATCCTAGTTGGAAAAACTTGTGCATTCCACACGTCTATTTACATAATTAAGTTTTCCTAAAGATACCATCAAAAGGGATATAGTGTAGTGGATGAGACTGTTTCTTCATCAATCAGAGGTCTCAGGTTCAAGTTAGGTGACTATGCTAAAAGCTTTAGTAGGGAGCACTTCCCTCTGAATGAAGCCCTACGCTGCACGAATTTGAATTCATCGAGCTCCAATGCAAATATCGAATGAGAGACAAATTCCAACAATGAGTGTCATAGTGAAATGGAGAGCTGGTTATGAAAGTTGCATCAACATATCAACCTCTTATTCTACATTTATCATCACTTAGGCACTTTCCTTTTAGTGGCTTACATCATAAATGCAACATTGGCTTCTTTCCACCACGATGGGGCAATGGACCGTCGTATACCACTTACAAAGTGAACAAGTGATGATGGACCCCTTTTTTTTCCTTTTTAAATAAAAGGGTCAAAATATTTTCTTTAGTACAAATTTAATATCAAATATATTAATTTAATAATAATGCATGCATTTGAGAAATTTAAAAGGTCAAATATACCCTTAAACAAGGGATAAAACATAAGTACCCTTAGACTATGACTGAAATCTCAGAGACACACATCAATTAAACTAAGGTCCTATTACCTCCTGAACTCATTTTTTTTTATAATTGTGTACACCTTTTGTCTTACGTGGCACACTCTGTGACTCCACGCAATTGAGACGCGTGGAAGATATTTGGATGCCATGTAAGCCAAAAAGGTGTACAAATTTACAAAAAAAAAAAAAAGAGTTCCAGGAGATAATAGGACCTTAGTTTAGTTAAGATGCGTCTCTGGAATTTCGATCATAGTTTAGGGGGTACTTGTACCTTTTCCCCTTAAACAATTAAAAAAATTCAAAGATTCTTGAACAATTAAAAAAGTCACAATATGCCTCTATGTGGTTTCCACCATTAGTGCAAAAACATAGTTGAATCATTTTTTATTGTCCAAGGATATGTTTGAAACAAATGATAATGCTATGAGTCGATAGGTTAATGAAGGACAATCATGAGATAAATCACCAATATGCTAAAACATTTTTTATCCTTTTTTATTGTTTCTTAATGGAATAACACATAAGTACGTCTGAACTATGATCGAAATCCCAGCGACACATCTTAACTAATTAGGGTCTTATTATCCTCCTAATTGGACACATGTAGTTGATGGCTGCACTACCTCCATTTTTAACCTCAAGTCTTGAACTTGATTCGTATTTCCCATTGGAAACGATTTATCCCTTTAATGGTCGCACCTTATACACTAGTGTTGAACTTGATCAATATGCAATGGTTAAAAACAACAAAATTAAGAAAAATAAAATAAAATAAAATAATAAACGTTTACAACTCAGACTTACAGTCTAGTGATATGTGTGAGAGTCTTCTAAGCATGTGTGGGTTCAATTCCCATTACACCCAGGGGCGTAGCTATTGCCAGTGCCCAGTTGGACACCCTTCGTTGGAAAATATATATATGTCGAATACTACGTTAAATGATATATATTTATAAAAGTTGGACACCCTTGACAAAAGTTATGCCTTTGATATAGTGGTAATGGGTGTCCATTTGAGTCAAGGAGTTCTAATTTTAAACCCCAAATAACACAATATTTTTTATTTTATTTTAACAGCCACACATCATTATTCGTAGATATCTTCAATAAAATTTCTGACTCCGCCACTGATCACAACTTTCCTATAAAGTACACTGACTTGCTATCACTAAAATTATATTGATTATAAGATAGAATATTCTTACACTACTACAATCAACTTATATTAAACGGGACCCCCAATGTAATGGACTTTAATATACCTACATATATTTAAAAATATCCTATCCCTTTATTCCTTTCATGAGTATATTTTCCACTATAAATATGATCTATGTACATAAACACTATGTACCAACAAAGTAGGTGACTCAAAGAAAAAGGCTAAGCTAGAAATAGCTAGGGATACAACTCAAAAGAGAAAAGAGCAAGAAGATGGCACAAGAAGAAATGAGAAAAGGACCATGGACAGAACAAGAAGACCTTCAACTTGCATTTTATGTGAATTTGTTAGGCGATCGACGATGGGATTTCTTAGCCAAAGTTTCAGGTTTTTAAGGTTGGCGGGAGATATATAGATTAGGTAGGCTTGTCTTGGACATGAAATTTTATTTTCATGGAACAACTTCTAACTCTTTTTTTCTATGTACAAATTTTGTTTTTATGTTGTGTAAATAGATTTGAGAAGAACAGGAAAAAGTTGTAGATTACGATGGGTGAATTACTTACATCCTGGTCTCAAACGAGGAAAGATGACTCCACAAGAAGAACGTCTTATTCTTGAACTCCACTCCAAATGGGGAAATAGGTTTGACTATACTTCAAACTTCTTTATGTTTTTTTATCTTGTTAGAATTTCTAACCGCGCTATATATATAATAAAATTAAATTCCTTTATGTACTTAGATGGTCAAGAATTGCAAGGGACGTATCCGGGAGAACAGACAATGAAATAAAGAATTACTGGAGAACACACATGAGGAAGCAGGCTCAAGATGAGAGGAAGTTAAACAAAGCATCATCTAGTATTTCTCCATCTTCATCCTTCTCCAATACTTCATCTTTCTCGTCTAATAGTCCTGATGTGGATTTCACACCCATTATGGAAAACAACGAAAGGAACTTCTACCATATAGGTGGACTACAAAAGAAAGTTGTTGACCATGATAAAGGAAAAAACATGAAGGTGTACTCTATGGATGATATATGGAAAGACATTGAATTATCAGAAGAAAATGAAACAAAGAGTAAACAAATTATGCCATCAACTATATGGGATTATTGTCCAAACACTTTATGGATGGCTGATGATCAAGAAGAAAGTAAGATGTTTCCTATGTTTTATTGCTTGGATAACCAGGATAACACATTTTTGGCTAACAAAGGGTTATTTGTTTGAAGGCTCTTTGTTTTTTTATAGTTGGTGTAGGTATTGAAAGATGAGTTTGTACTCTAACACGTTAATAAAGAAAAATAAGATGGGTAAACAAGTTGCAATATGGTTATCATTTGTGAAATGCAAATTGCAAATAAAACAAATTTTGCTTGGTTGAAGTTTATCATTTGCTTGGTTGAGAGTAGTTTATCAATAATGAATAGAAAATAGTCTATAAGAAAAATAAAGTGTGAGGAGTGTTATAATGAGATGTATACTATAAAGAGGTTTTTCTTTTTGGATTTGTAGTAGTTTCTTGAGTCTACCTAGTGTGTTAAATTTTTCACTATAGTAGTATTGTGTTGCTTCTCTTGAGTATTGTATTTTGCACGTTAAAAGAACTTGGTATCTTCGTTATTCTCTTGTTTTTGTTATTATAATTTTTTTTATGTGAGGTGTTATTTTCGAACAACGTGGTATCAAAATCACGAAGAAACTTTGCCTTAACATAAAAAGAATATCTTGAAAAAGATAAGAAATAATAATCAACAATCTCTCACTCTCATTCGAAGGTGACTAATGTAATTACCTCAAAGGAAGCAAGAGAGATCTTACAAATTTCTCTCCAAGGAATTGATCAAGTGAAGAAAGTAAGACTTCAAACACTAATGGTTTATTTTGAAGTTTTAAAAATGAAATAATCCAATCCATTTAAGTTGTTAAAAAATGATGGTTGTTGTGAATAAATAAAGAAGTAAGGAGAGGAAGTAGACGATGTACGTGTGGCAGAAAAGTTCCTTCACTTTTCAATATCTAAATTTATTTTATGTGGTTTGTGCTATTAAAGATTTCAATGATTTAGACTCCACGACGATGTGTTAATTGGAGGGTTCTTTACAAACTCATGAAAAAAAAATATATCAAGATGAGATAAAGAAGAATCACTATAGCAATTTCTTAAAACCAAGACATCCTTCCAAGATTATGAAGGTGAAAAGAGATCTATAGAGAGAATGAATTAGGAATAGATCAACTAACGAATTCAACTAATGTAGAAATAATATTGAATTAAACATAACTCGTATAAATGCGGAATAAACAAACTAAAAAGCAAACTACCTAAAGGACCTGGTGACACCAGTATAAGTGCATCTATGAATACGAAACAAGTCTCAAAACTAAAACAACTATCTAGAACGAAATAAGACAGAAAATAAAGGAGCTCTAGAATCCAGTACTGTTGAACAGGAAACAACTCACCCTGAATCCAATAATCAACAATCTCAATTGTAGCAACAAGTCAAGTACCGCTAGTACTTGACTCAGTACCCACATGCAAAAAGGGTGCATCACGTATAGAGTGAGTACGGAAAACACGTGTGCTCAGCAAGCTTTGATTACTAACTCTTCTTAGAGGCGAGAACGATGTATATTTTAAAAGATTTTTTCCAATAGTATAATTACATCATAAAAAAAATCACATCAACATGACAATTTAAACATATACTTTTCCAAACTGTCAGTTACACCAGTGATGATATTCCAAGATGTCTCAAATATAACGAGTCAAATCAGTTTCACAATCATCTCAACAACTCAACACCAAATCAATATGAAATGCAATGTAGATGAGATGTAATGCAATGCAATGTACTGACAAAAATATCGATATACACCCGCTTCCTCTGTCGGATAGTCTAGACTCAGGGGGACTCATGAGGTCCATATATCTGTGGGAACCATTTCTCATCGGCATAATAATACTCACCGATACTATTTTTCATCGACATAATATCACTCGATAATTGTTTTAGTTTTTAGACAAGTTTGTAGAGATCAATAAAATGATAAGAGATAATATTTTTTTTTGGAGATATCTCAACGATTAAAAAAAAATTTCAATCTCTTCTAAAGTTGATGGCCATAAATTAATTAAATATGTTTATTAGTTGTAAAGAAAATGATAAATAATATTTTGTGTTTTGTTCAACTTGTTGAAAAGGGATTTGATATTGAAAAATATCCATCCTTGGCCTAGAGATCATTCAATTCAAGTTGAAATTTAATTGCTAATGTGCATATGAAAAAAAAAATATATATTTTCTTTGAATCTTAAGACAATTGATACAATGTGTGTGACTGCTAATCCTGTGCAAGATGAATTATTGGGACATGCAATTTGAATCTTGATTTTTACAATCACCAATCTCAATAGTAGGAGCAAGTCAAGTACCGCTAGTACCTAACTCAGTTTTTGCACGCAAAAAGGGTGTATCAAGAATAGAGTGTGTAGGAAAACACATGTACTCAGCAAGATTTCATTACTAACCCTTCTTAAAAGTGATAACGAGGTATATTTTAAAAGTTTCTTTTCTCAACAGTATAATTACGTCATAAAATAAATCCCCTCAACACGAAAATTTAAACATATATTTCCAAAACTGTCAGTTACACTAGTGATGATATCACAAGATGTCTCAAATGTAACGAGTCAAATCAGTTTCACAATCATCTCAACAACTCAACACCAAATAAATATGAAATGCAATGTAGATGAAATGTAATGCACTGACGAAAAACTGGTACACATTCGCTTTCACTGTCGGATAGTCGGGACCCAGGAGGATTCATGAAGTTCATATACTTGCCGGAACCATTTCATATCGACATAATAATACCCGTCGGAATAATTTCTCATTGGCATAATACTGCTCGACAATTGTTGTTTGTAGAGATCAATAAAATGATAAGAGATAATATTTTTTGGAGGTATCTCAAAGATTAAAATTGAGGGATGAGTAGAATTTCAATCTCACATAAAATTGATGGCGGCCATAAATTGATTAAAGATGTTTATTAGGTGTAAAAAATGACAAATAATATTTTGAGTTTGGTTCAACTTATTGTAAAGGGATTTGATAATGAAAAATATTCATCATTGGCCTAGAGATCATTCTATTCAAGTGGAAATTTAATTGCTAATAAATCATTTTCTTTGAATCTTTAGACAATTGATACAATGTGTTTGAATGCTAATCATCATGTGCAAGATGAATTATTTGGACATGAAATTTGAATCTTGATTTTTACAACACTCAAATCAATAGAAGAAAAGAATATGCATGGTGCATGTGATCCCTTCAATCAACCATCCTAATCATTTGTCTAGAGCTTATATTGTTAAAAGTATGCAAGGAAGAGTTTTTTAAAGGAGTCCATGGAGCAACCAAATCACTCCAACTTGTTTATACAAATGTGTGTGGGCCAATCAATCCACCTTCTTTTGATAAAAATAAATACATCTTGCTCTTCCTTGATGACGTTTGTTAACTAGATTTATTTCTTTAAAGTATTTGATGCTTTCAAAATTTCAAAACACCCTTAAAAATAGACATTGGCTATAAAATTGAAGCTTTAAGGTTTAACAGAGAAGGCAAATTTACTTCAAAAGAATTTAATGAATTTGGTTAGTCTCATGAAATTCAACACCATCTTATACCATACTCATCACAATAAAATAAATTAAGGAGAGAATGAAAGAATTGAAAGAAAGAATAGAACAATTTTTAATATTGCAAGACGTTTGTTAAAAGCTAAAAAAATTCAAAGGGATTTTGGCCAAGCTTTTTCTTTACATTTTTTTTTATTAATAGGTCTCCAACAATAACTATTAGAGGACAAAGTTAAACTGTTAATTTTAAGCTAAAATTAGTTTGGAGGTTCATCTACAATAAGAGTTAATTGTAGGTTATTTAGTGGATGATTTAATTTTTTGTAACTTTAAACTTTTGGTTGATTAGTGATGTTTTGAAAGAGAAATTTTTGAAGAGGGTCGTGTTTTTACTCCTTTGAACAAGAAGGATTTTCACGTGAAAATTTATATTCTACATGTATTCAAACGTTATAACTTGCTACATGAGTTAGTTGAATCAATACAAAGAACACGTTTCTTGTAATTAAGTTTAATTGATAAGGTGTTTTTATAGATAAATTTTAATAGGTCTAATATTTGTCAAGACACTATTCAACCCCCCTTCCCGACCTTATAATGCAATCACATCTCTGGTCCGATAGTTTTTTATTGTTTCCATATTTCTAGTGTATTTAACTCACGTTAGGTCCACTCCTACCATCTCGAACCTCTACACATATTTCTGATAAGGACTCGATCTTTAGAAGCATTCCCAATTGAATCTATGGAAGTGAGACTCTCTATCCTCTTTAATCTTTAAAGCAAATATTTTATATAGGATAATTAGTGTTGTTCAAGATAAGCCAAGAAAAATAGAAATGTGGAAAAGGTTTGATGACTCCTCAACAATATCCTTATCTTTCGATTCTATCACATGCAATTTAAAAGGACAAAAATGGATGAAGCTAAGATAAGATTAATTGCACACATTATCTACTTGTAAGTTCTAAACTTTTGACATAAATTAATTGATTAGTGATATGATTGTGAACTGAGGTGTATTGATCAATACTCCTTGGACATATCTTATTATCCTTTTGTTGCTGCTAGAAGTGTCCAATAAATCACTTAATCAATGTTTTAAGGGCTTCGTAAGTGTTGTAATTATACTCATCTATAAAATTCCTTTAAAAAGCAATTCACATAATCTTTGGAGTCAATATTTATATAGGAATTAATGAGACTATATGTTATTGAGTTCAAATGACACAACATAATTAAGCAACATACATCCTTTTGATTTGAAACAAACACATTCTTGATTTCAACACCAAAAAAGTTTAAGCTAAAAAAATACATTTTCAATTAGTATTTTGTTATAATTAAGCATTTTCATATAATTACTACCGACGGTTCATTAATTTTTAGAAATTAAATGTAGTGAGGAAGTCGGGAGAGATATATTTTATTTCTCTTGTGATTGTTGTACGAAAAATCGACTGATTTAGCTTCCTATTAAAGGAAGTTGTTTCGAGACTTTTCAGAAAGATGTTGCAAGGCTTTTCATTTATAAGTTGTCTACTCCATTGCAAGCTTTAAAAAGCTGCTACAAG